GAGGAGGGCGCGCCATGTGTTCTGGTGCGCCTTACCGGAGAAGGAGATGGGGGAGGAGTGGTCCTCTCCCGAGGAGGGGCCGCCATGGGGTGGCCGGCGCAGGTGGGGCCGCGGAAGTGTGCGAAAGCGTTCCCGTGGCCCTGCCAATATGCGACGAGGGTGGAACACCATGGGGTTTTAGTCGGTGCGAGTCCGACATAACCCGTCCTTGCCCCCGCGAGGCGGGTATGCGTAGGCATTTCCCCATGTAAAAAAAAAAAAAAAAAAAAAAAAAAAAAAAAAAAAAAAAAAAAAAAAAAAAAAAAAAAAGGTTAGGTTAGGTTAGGTTAGGTTAGGTTCCCCCCCGAACGGGTTCCCGCCTTGTCGTGGCGGGGGGGCTTAGTAGCCGTGGCTTGGTCAACCACGGTGAACGAAGAGGAACCCCTTGGCTGGCCCGAGGTGTAGGGCCGGCCCGAGGTGGCCACTCCGAGTGGGCTTGGGAAGCCCACTTCGGATGTGTGTCGGGGGCTGTGGTGAGAGGGGAGTCCGCAACCCTCTACCGCTGCAGCCGAGGTGGAGTCGCGGAGGAAGAGGAGTGTTGGTATGGCGATGCGCCACTCGCCCTATCCTCCGCGACTCAGACGGGGCCGCACCGTTGAATGATGCGGTGGTGGTGGGGCTGCGGGGGGAGAGGAGTGTCGGTATTGCGAGGCGCCGCTCTCCCTACCCTCCGCAGCCGAATCTTGGTTGGCGGCGGAGCCATAGACCAGATCCGCCGCTGGGGTCGGGAAGGCTGGTGCTTCTTAGTGCTAGTTTTTCCTGGCCCCATGGCCTTCGCGCATCGGACACGGGGGCGTCTGTTGCGCATATGAAATTGGAGGCCGAGGAGGAGGGCGCGCCATGTGTTCTGGTGCGCCTTACCGGAGAAGGAGATGGGGGAGGAGTGGTCCTCTCCCGAGGAGGGGCCGCCATGGGGTGGCCGGCGCAGGTGGGGCCGCGGAAGTGTGCGAAAGCGTTCCCGTGGCCCTGCCAATATGCGACGAGGGTGGAACACCATGGGGTTTTAGTCGGTGCGAGTCCGACATAACCCGTCCTTGCCCCCGCGAGGCGGGTATGCGTAGGCATTTCCCCATGTAAAAAAAAAAAAAAAAAAAAAAAGGTTAGGTTAGGTTAGGTTAGGTTCCCCCGGCGATGGCTTCGCCCTCAGCCACAGACTCTCCAGAAGAGGAGAGCACCGATGTCCCCGAGGTGACGCAAGCAGAGACGAGAGTGGCCGTGTCGCGACTCCGGGCTAAGAACACAGCGCCCGGACCCGACGGAGTTCCTGGTCGAGCTCTCGTCCTGGCTCTGAAGGAGCTAGAGCCCCAGCTGAGAGGGCTCTTCACGGCATGTCTCGAGCAGGGTCAGTTTCCCAGTGTGTGGAAGGAGGGGAGGCTGGTCCTGCTCAGGAAGGAGGGGCGCCCCGCGGACTCACCGTCCGCGTACCGGCCCATAGTGCTGCTCGACGAGGCGGGCAAACTTTTTGAGCGTATCATCGCAGATCGCCTCGTCAGCCACTTGTGCAGAGAGGGGCCGGACCTGGATGACAACCAGTTTGGTTTTCGTCGCGGGCGCTCCACCATAGACGCTATTACGCGCGTGAGGGCCCTGGCGGAGGAGACAGTATCCCGGGGTGGGGTGGTGCTGGCGGTGTCCTTAGACATCTCCAACGCTTTCAACACCCTACCCTGGAGTTGCATTCGGGAGGCGCTGAATTACCATCGCGTGCCTCCCTACCTCCGCCGCACAATAGGGGCTTACCTTGAGGAGAGATGCGTTACCTATTGGGGACGTGACGGCGCTGGTCGGCGCGTCATGTCGTGCGGTGTTCCGCAGGGATCGGTCTTGGGACCGCTCCTGTGGAACATCGGCTACGACTGGGTGCTGAGAGGTGAACTCCCGTCGGGCGCCGACTTGACGTGTTATGCGGATGACACGCTCGTCACTGCCCGGGGGAGTTCGTACAGGGAAGCAGCGTTGGTTGCCACGGCTGCGGTGTCACAAGTTGTGAACCGCATCCGGTGCCTGGGCCTGGAGGTGGCCCTAAGTAAGTCGGAGGTCATGGTGTTCCATGGCCCTCGACGCGCGCCGCCGCCGGGTTCACACATCGTGGTCAGCGGGGCCCGGATAGCTGTCGAGTCCACCATGAAGTATCTGGGATTGGTGCTCGACAGCCGATGGGAATTCGGACCCCACTTCCGGCGGCTGGCGCCCAAGCTGATGGGTGCAGCGGGCGCGCTATCAACGTTGTTTCCCAACTTGGGGGGCCCGAGCGCCGCCTGTAGGCGGTTGTACGTGGGAATCGTGCGGTCCATGGCCCTGTATGGGGCCCCTGTGTGGGCGATAGACATGACGGCCAGCACTCTCGCCATTCTGCGTAAACCGCAGAGGGCGATGGCCGTCAGAGTCGTCCGCGGGTATCGCACGATTTCCTACGAGGCGGCTTGCGTCCTGGCTGGATCCCCGCCCTGGGACCTAGAGGCGAAAGTACTCGCGTCATTATATCGATGCCGCGAGGAAGAGCGGGCACGGGGCTCGAGGCCGGTGCAGCGGCAGATCGCGCTGCGCCGAGAGGAGCTCCGTCAGGTCTTGGTGGCGGAATGGCGGCAAAGGCTTCTGCGCCCTACCGCCGGCCTCGCTACCGTCGAGGCGATCCGGCCAGTACTCGACGACTGGCTCGGGAGAAGGCACGGCTCCCTGTCGTTTAGGGTGACACAGGTGCTGTCGGGGCATGGCTGCTTCGGCAAGTACCTGCGCCGCATAGACAGGGAGCCGGACGCTCGGTGCCACCACTGCGTCCATTGCGGGGAGGACACGGCGCAACACACGCTCGCCGAGTGTGTAGCTTGGGAGGAGCAGCGCCGTGTCCTCACAAATAAAGTAGGAGGCGATCTGTCGCTGCCGGCCTTAGTGCGGAAGATGGTCGGTAGCGCAGAGTCGTGGGATACGGTGGTGTCCTTCTGCGAGGACGTGATGTCGCAGAAGGAAACTGCGGAACGGGAAAGGGAGATCTCGACTCCCTTCCCTGGCCGCAGAAGGCGCACCGGGCGCAGGAGAAGGGCGGACAACGCCCTTTTCCGGCCCCCATAAATGGGTCCAGGGGCGAGGGACTTGGGGAAGCCCCCGCCACCCCTACTCGATGGACCCGAGGCGGAGGTGCGCGCGGGTGTCGGCGCGCGCCCCTGAGGCGATACACGGGGTAGTTTAACACCTCACTACCCCGTGCAGGAGACGAGGCCTGGACAGATCGGGCCAGCACTAGTGTGGGGCTGCGGAAGAATTTGGATTCCCGCGGCCCCACGCGCACGTGTGAGGAGACACCGGGGTGGTTTTAGCCGGTAAGAGTCCGGCACGCCCCTCCGCCTTTCCCCAGGCGGAGGTAGTCCATGAGGATTTCCCCCCGTAAAAAAAAAAAAAAAAAGGTTAGGTTAGGTTAGGTTAGGTTCCCCCCCGAACGGGTTCCCGCCTTGTCGTGGCGGGGGGGCTTAGTAGCCGTGGCTTGGTCAACCACGGTGAACAAAGAGGAACCCCTTGGCTGGCCCGAGGTGTAGGGCCGGCCCGAGGTGGCCACTCCGAGTGGGCTTGGGAAGCCCACTTCGGATGTGTGTCGGGGGGCTGCGGTGAGAGGGGAGTCCGCACCCTCTACCGCTGCAGCCGAGGTGGAGTCGCGGAGGAAGAGGAGTGTTGGTATGGCGATGCGCCACTCGCCCTATCCTCCGCGACTCAGGCGGGGCCGCACCGTCGATTGATGCGGTGGTGGTGGGGCTGCGGTGGGAGAGGAGTGTCGGTATTGCGAGGCGCCGCTCTCCCTACCCTCCGCGGCCGAATCTTGGTTGGCGGCGGAGCCATAGACCAGATCCGCCGCTGGGGCCAGGAAGGCCGGTGCTTCTGAGTGCTAGTTTTTCCTGGCCCCATGGCCTTCGCGCATCGGACACGGGGGCGTCCGTTGCGCATATCAAGTTGGAGGCCGAGGAGGAGGGCGCGCCATGTGTTCTGGTGCGCCTTACCTGAGGGAGATGGGGGAGGAGTAGTCCTCTCCCGAGGAGGGGCTGCCATGGGGCGGCCAGCGCAGGTGGGGCCGCGGATGTGTGCGAAAGCGTTCCCGTGGCCCTGCCAATATGCGACGAGGGTGGAACACCATGGGGTTAAAAAAAAAGGTTAGGTTAGGTTAGGTTAGGTTTTTTTTTTTTTTTTTTTTTTTTTTTTTTTTTTTTTTTTTTTTATATATATACTCGGTTCATCTGATGTTATTTCTTTTACAGCACCTTTGATTTCTTTTGTTTATTTATCTTTATTTACTTTCATTTCATTGTTTTTTTTTTTTTTTTTTCTCAGTATTCCACCGTATTTTACCTTACATTGACTTTACATGACTGGTATTTAAACTTATAAATCTTATAAACATAGACTTACAAAGAGCATAATAATCTACACTTTTACTACATTATTATAATAGCTACTAATACCCTATTATTTCTTATTGTTTATTATAATAATACTACAATTCTATCTATTTTAATATTTCTATGGAATCTAGTAAACATTATACATGGCTTGTGTACTACCCAATTTTTTTTTTTTTTAATTTTGTTTCCACCGTTTTATCTTTTTTTTTTTTGCTGCTAATATTTATTAACTTGTAAAATTTAAAAACATAAACTTACAAAGAGCATAATAATCTACAGTTTTACTACACTATTATTAAAACTACTAATACCCTATTAATACTTATTGTATTTACAACTACTAATAATACTACAGTTCTATCTGTTTAAATGTTTCTATGGAATCTGTTAATCAACATTATACATGGATTGTGTACTACCCAATATATACATATACATACATATACACACACATATATATACACACATACATATATATATATATGTATATATATATATATATTTTTTTTTAATTTACTTACTGAATTTATACTACTTAAAATATCTGTCTGCTACTACAAATACAGGCATTAGAGGCTAGTATACTTTAGATCCATTTTCCTTGAGCACCTTTTTCAAACAGTGTTCAGCAAATTCAAGGAAATGCATGTAGCTGTCATTGTCGTTGATTGCCTTACAAAGTGTGGTTTCATTTATTGCAAAGCCCATGCGGTGTTCGCAGCTTATTCTTTGTGCTGCATACTTTGGACAATCTATTAGCACGTGTTCAACTGTTTGTGGTGTTGATTGGTCACAGTCACAGCATGGACTCTGCGCCAGTTTAAATTTACATAGATATGCCTTAAAACCTCCATGTCCAGTAAAAATTTGGCATCTCATATTATTAATCTTGATATTCTTCATGGTTTTGTAGGCTTGCTTAACAGTTGTGAAGAACTTCTTTGTCACTTGTCCCGTTTGTGCCGTTGTATATCTTTCTTGCCAATTATGCAAAGTTTTGTCCCTGATGGAGCGTTTTGCGAAGGAAAGAGGAAAACAGTCGTAGACTGGGGTCTGCTTCAGTGTCTCCGCGGCAGACTTTGCAAGCTCATCTGCTCTCTCATTGCCTGGAATACCGCAGTGGGCTTTAATCCAAAAGAGTCTAACTTTGCCTTGATTGCTGTCTATGTCTCGCATGCGTTCCAGAATTTTTGCTGCGAGGGGGTGTAGTGCATTGGGGTTAGTGAGACTTTCCAGCGCCGATTTAGAATCACTGAGGATGTTTGCCATTTTTAGTGTTTTCTTGCTTAAGATTACTTCTGTGGCTTTTAGTATAGCTGCTAATTCTGCTTGGTAAACACTACAATGATTTCCAAGGCGTAATCTGGATTTGTATATTTCTTTCCCGTCTTTCCAGCAGGTGATGGCTGCTCCTACTTTGCCTGTAATCTTACTCCCGTCAGTATATATTCAGGGCCAGTCATTTCCGATAGATTCAAGATCTTTCTCTGCATTTATTAAGTTATAAGTTTGGTTCACGCGTTTGGCTGGATGAGGTAGCGAGTACGGACTTACAGATTTTGCTAGTTCTCTGCCAGGTAATCGTTCCAGTGGTTCCCCCCTTTTAATTCTAAATAGGTCAGCATTTTCTTGTGCTCTTAGGTCTAGGGGAAGAACTCTAGCTAAAGTGGCGCATGAGATTAAAGAAGAAGTGCGATGTGCTTTACATATCAGTATACTGAAGGTTCTCGTTATCCTGTCAAGCCTGGTTTTTATTTGTTTCTTATTTGCCACATGTCCCCATACGCTTGCAGCGTATAATATGGTTGGTTCTACCACAGTTATGTAAATTGTCCTAAGAATTTCAGGATTCAGGCCCCAGTTTGTTCTAGCTGTTTTTGCCACTTTTTTATAAAGTTGGATTGCTTTTTCAGTTACCCTGTCTACATGTTTAAGGAAGTTTAGATTGGCGTCAATTGTGAGTCCAAGTATTGTAATCGTGTCAGAGAAACTTATTTCCGTTTCTCCCATTACTATCTTTGGATTTTCAAATTTCATCTTTTTTGTTATTAATATGGCCTGAGTTTTCTGAGCTGCCAGTTTCATTTTTCTCTTTTTTGCCCAGTTTATTATGTGGTTTAGTACCGGATTAGCTCCTTTTCTAAATCTTTAGCCGATTTTCCTTTCGCTATTATTGTTATATCGTCTGCGTATGCTTGAATGTATGTTCCTAGGCCTTCAACTTCTGTTAGTAACGGGTCGAGCTGCAAATTCCATAAAAGGGGTCCACAGGTAGAACCCTGTATGCAGCCTTTGTTAGTTTGCTTTATCACCTCATGACCAGCATATGTAAGTTTTATTTGCCTGTCCAGTAAATAGCTGCTGATTAACCTGCATAGTGATCTGTCTACTTTCTTATTTTCTAGCTCGTTTATCATTCCGGGCCACCAGGCATTGTCGAATGCGCCCTCAATATCAATGGAGATAACGACCACAATTTCTTTACGTTTTAAGCCTTGTTTTACAATTTCGATGGCATCATACAGGGCGTCTTCTGTGCCGCGCTGTGCGACAAAACCATACTGCCTCACGCTCATTTTATTTTCGGTCCATAATTGCCACATCATTCTGTTCACGAATAGCTTCTCTAGTACTTTCCCCAAGACAGGTAGAAGACCAATTGGCCGATAGGACTTTGGAAGGGTATAGTTTTCCTTATTTGCCTTTGGAATCACCCGAATTGTCGCTCTTTTCCAAACTTTAGGGAAGTATCCGAGTAGAAGACATTTAGTGTATATGGCTAGTAGGATTTGTGGAGCCGCCTTGTAGGCTCTAAAGCATATGTCGGATGTAAGGCCGTCTTCCCCAGGCGCTTTTTTCGGACTCATGTTTTTAAATATTTCTTCAATTTCAGTGTTGGTGAAAGGGATTATTACATCTTTATTCTGGTTCTTGGCCCACTCTTTCCTATTGTTTTCTGATTTGATTCTAATTTCTGTGTGTATTTGATCGTCTGATTTGATGTCATCATTTGGGTAGAAAGTATCTGATAAGAGCTGTGCAGATTCTTTTGGGGTCATGATCTTGCTAGTTGCTGTTTCCCGTAATAATGTGTCTTCAGGAGTTTTGTAAGATTTACGTATTACCCTATAAATACTTTGCCACATACTCTCCCGATCTTGCCTAGTACAAAATTCCTTCCAGCTCGATGTTATTGCTTCTTCAAGGAGATTCTTGTATTCTATTTTGGTTTGAAGATATTCCTCTATTACTGTCTGTTTCCTGTTTTTGTTAGCAAATTTAATTTTTCTTCTTTTTCGAATAAGTTCTTTTTTCTTTTCGTCTAATTCCTTTGTCCACCATGGTGTCTTTGTCGGTATTCTCTGAGATAACTTTGGAATTGTTATATCGCAAGATTTTCGTAGACATTCAACGTACTGCATGACCAAGTCTTCTAAGGCCCATGTCGTTTCTATGTTCATAGTTGCTTCTTCAGTGATATTAATTGACTGTAGTTCTGTTTGTAACGTGACAGTGAATCTGTTCCAATCCGCTTTGCTGGTGTTAAAGATGCGGGTAGATATTCGCTGGTTAGGTTGCCTTGTTGAATTCTCAGGTTCTATGTCATACATAATCGCTCTATGGTCCGACAGTGTGACAAAGTCAGGATTAACCCTCCAGTTTATTATTTTATGGAATAAGCTGTTAGAGCATGCTGTTATGTCCACAATACTCGTGTAGTCTTTGTCTCCTCTGTGTGCCCAAAATGTTGGTGTACTTCCTGTGTTAAGTATGTTTAACCCCAGTTGGGCTAAAGTCTCAGCGACGACCGTTCCCCGTCCATCCTCCACGCTACAACCCCACCAAGGACTTTTTGCGTTTACATCCCCTCCAAATATGATATGATCGTTTCCCAGTATGTCAATGGATTTTGATATCTTTCTTAAATCTTCGTCGATGTTTTGGCCTTCCTCCATGTATGCGTTTACAATACTAATATCTAGGTTATTAATTTTAAAATTACACGCGACAATGTTTTCGGTAATCGTTTCAGGGTTTATAGTATATTGTATGGAAGGATCAACGACAATGACAGCTGACTTGACTGGTTTTTGTGTGTCTGTAGTATATTTTTGTATAACTGCATGGCGGCTGGTAGTGTGTGCTTTTGCTCCTACATAGGGTTCTTGTATTAGGAGAATAGCCACTCCTTGTGTTTCAGCCGCCTGCAGGCATTCTTGTTGGGCTAATTGTCCCCTACCGAGATTGACTTGGGCAATTTTTATTTTTCCATACTTTGTGCTCGAAGGTCTTTGTGAGGAAACGTCGCGGACTTTAGCAATACGTGATCGTTGCTCTCGCTATCCGATCCCATTTCCTCCATTCCAGACATTCTGAGCTATACGCAGGATGTGCACACTTTGTGTCACATTCATTATTTTCTATGCAGTTTTTGCACTTAGGCGCTTTATCTCTGTTGTGACACTCTCTGGTGTCATGTTCCTCAGCACAATACCCACAGCATGTCTTTTGAGCTTGGCACTCTCTTGCTCGATGAGAGAACCCAAGACATCGATAACACTGAGTAACCGGTGACTGATCGACTGCTGGGACTATCTGAAAGCCGAGTCTGATTTTCTTATCTTTTAATTTGCTCCAGATTTGTGAGCTTACTTCGAGTATGATATTGCTTGTGGAGCTTGTTCGACCCTTTATTCTTCTTACTACTTTGACGTATTGCTGCGTTGATGAGATGCCTTGTAAGAAAGTGCTGTTTTGCTTTATTATTGCTTCTTCGATCTTTTTATCGGTTAGGTCAAAGACCACCCCTATTAGGCGTAGGAGTGGGTTCTTAATAGTCGGCTTATAGACCGTCAGTTTGGCTGTGTTGTTTTTTAATTTTTCTTGGAGGATGCTTCTGTCCTCTTCAGATTCACAGCTAATGAGAACTTTTTGATTTTTCGCTTTTCTCATATTACTGATGCCGATCCCTAGCCCAACTACATCGACCCCGCTCTTGACTTGTTTAATGATATCGTCGCTGGTGCTCCTAGGGTCAGCCGATTCCACTATCACCGGATAATGCGGCTTCATCACCACCTCTGAGAATGTACGTGTGAAGCTTTTATGCCTGGACACTGTTGCTTGATCTCTTTTCTCATAATCGTTTATATCATCCTCTTTTAGTTGAGAGTTGTTTCCAGTGAAGTCTGCTTCACTTACACCCGGTTGGTTCTTGAGCTCTTTTCTGAGGCTCTCTATTGCAACTCTAATTGGAGCTGCTGAATCCACCGTGGTGTCTCGCAGTTCTCTCGTCTCTCTTCTCAATTCTTCCAGGTTTGCCTGGACTGAGGGTAGCTGAGAATTGAGTGAGGCATCAGTTATTCCTTTGATATCTCTTGTTATCTTAAGGATCTCGTGCCTCAATTCTGCTACCTCTGCTGTTATTTGTGCTTTTATTTCAGAAATATGACCCTGAAGTTCCGTGATTACTTTTTTGTGATGTTTTTCTGATAACATACCTTGGTTTTGTGTCTCTGGGCTGTGTTCTCTATTTTGTGCCTGAGGATTAGTCCAATCTCTAGTGAGTTCTCTGACCGCCTGACGGAGTTCCTGCAGCTCCTCGGCGAAGCGAGATAAATCAATTTCTTGACGAACAGGGTTCTTAAGGGTATCGGTGTTCGCCCGGAGTAGCTTTAGTTCCTCCATCAAGACTTGTATCTGACTCGAAATGGATGAACCTGAGGTGATTTCTTTGCGCACATTGACGACTTCTCTCTTTGTCGCCGTTACCGCCTCACAAAGGTCATACGAAACAATTGATCGGGTAGATTCTAATTCTTTCAAAAGCTTTTCTACGTTCTGTTTTAAGTTAGCATATTGCCCTAAAGTCTCGTTCATGAATCTTGCATGCCTTTGTGTGAGCCTTTCCGATTCGCGTGAGACATTTAGTTTTTGTTTGCTGGATTCGAGAATGTGTAACATTCTCGAGTCAGACAATTTGAGGACCATTTCATATAGTGTATACAGCCCCGAGACCACACTTTCCCGGATCTCCCTCTTTAGGTTTCCGGATTTTTCCAACTCTGCCTTCGTTCTTTGCAGTATTTCGTTGGCATGTCTAGGTAAATCATTAAGGAGCATCCGGTTTCCTCCAATCGATCTAGTGGAAGTATTGAGGGACGTGTTAGTGTCTCCACTGTCAATATCCGACTCTGCGGTGTCTTCAGTCTCCGACAATGTTCTTAAGGCGTCTTTGGCTTCTGCGGCCCTCGCCTGTTTTATTTGTG